GCTAGGATTACAGGCCTGAGCCACCGCGCCCGGCCAGGAAACTTGAGGTTTAATTCTGATTCTGCTGTTAACAAGCTGATGGAATTGGACAAGTCACCTTACCTGTCTGGGTCAGTTTTCTTACCTATGAAATACAGTTAATAGTATCTGCTTTACACATTAAGGTGCTTAGAAAGGTCAGGTTGTCATAAAATTAGAACACAGATTATTCAAAGTAAGAAGTTTTAAACAAATGCATTTTAAAAATCTGAATTTTTGATAGTTTTGAAAAGCCTAGGCATTTCAAATACTTGTTAGACTGAAAAATTTTAAACAACACTTTCTAAATGAAACAAAATCAGAAAGAAAACAGAAGCAAATGAGCCTAAAGAAACAGTGTACTGATGCCAAAACTTTTTTTTTTTACCAGAAATTTAATTTTCCAGTAGCTTAACTTCATTCTGCTTTGGCCAGGGTTAACTCCACTCAATTCTATATAAAGACCAGAAACTATCCCTAATGTAATTTAAGTACTAAATCAAAATTCTTTGGAAGTCAGGTCTTAATTTTAATAAGATTCCCTAAATTCCCCGAATCTAACCAGAAAAAGTTAGCTGTTCTGTATAATCACCTTACATGACAATCTTCCATTTTTACTTTGCTGGTAATATAAGGGAGAGAAGATAACAATTATAAAATAAAAATAACCAAGTCTTTATGATTAGGATTCCATAAAAAGCTAACTCTCTAGTATAAAGTTCATATTAATAAATAAATATAAAGAAAGCCCCACTAAAAAGTTCTAATGTAGTTCATTTTTAAAATCTTCTGGCTCTTTAAAATTCTATGGCCAACAATATGCTGTCTTAAGCATAAGGTTATATTTATATTGCCACAGAAACAGGGAAGAAATTGTCTTTGGAATCTGAAACTTAAAAAAAATATTTAACAGAGGGACTGCTTTTGAAACTCAGAATTCCTGGAACACTTGTTATTAGTCAAGTGACAAGCCAGTAAATCCCCTGCATGGTTTCCAGAAAGGAGTTTCTCAATTAATTGAATTTACAGAAACAAATGAATGTCTGGGCTATTTTCCTGATCTTTTAGGGGAACTATACTAGAGTATCAAAGGCCAGGAGACAATCTCAGAAAAGCCTGTTCTACACTAGGTTTTATAAATAATGAAATATAAATATATCTGGAGTAATTGAAATATTTTTGAAGTTTGTAGACAACTTTTTTTCTGCTGTTTTCATAACAA